AGCATATACAAAACACTACAACCTCTTACAAACACACAACATTAACTAAGCACAAATGCAAACACGCAACATTAACTAAACACAATTACAGACACACAGCTTTAACTAAGCACAATTACAAAAACACAGCAATAACAAAACACAATTACAAAAACACAACATTGACTAAGCGCAAATAACAAAACACAACATTAAGTTAGCACAATTACAAATACACAACATTAACAAAGCAAAAATACAAAAACACAACATTAACTAAGCACAATAACAAAAACGCAACCTTAACTAAGCACAATTACAAAAACACAACGTCAATTAAGCAAAACTACAAATGACAAAAACACAACGTTAACTAAGCACAACTACTAAAACCCAACGACGTGCATTGTTATGTTGTTGTGTTGTAGCTTTGTAGTTTTGACTGGGGGTTCCTTGCTGTGGTTTGAAGCCTCAGGGCCACCGTACTTTGCCCCTTTGGAGGCCATGTCTCTGTTGTCTCTGTTGTTTCCGGTCTGTTTGTGACTCCGGCCTCTGACCCCTCTCAGATTGGAACTCCACGGCCTACGGCCTGCCGTCGCCCTACGACCGGGAGCAGGCCGGCTCCATCCTGCCCATCGCGCTGCAGTTCCTCACGCCGGCCTACATCTCCGTCATCGGCATCGGCGCCGTGGCGGCCGCCGTCATGTCCTCCATGGACTCGGCTCTGCTGTCCTCCGCCTCCCTGTTCTCCTCCAACATCTACAAGAACATCATCCGGAAGCAGGTCAGACTTTGGGGAATGTGTCGAGGGGCAAAACGGGACTCAAACACCAGCAGAAGTCTATTCAATCCATCAACTTTTTGGCTGCCGGCTGGTATAAAGATCTGGAATATTAATGTTTCTTCCTCCTGGTTTTTTTTAATTTAGTTTCCTTTGTGAAAAAATGTTCACATACATTCTAAAAACTGGCACAAAGTCAGTGTTTTGATTTTTTGTAGTTGCTTTATAACACTTAAAATCATGGATTAGGAACTATTCCATTAAAAAGAAGTCGATGGAAATGGCGACTTTGGAAAAAAAAAGGTAATTTCAATTGGATTCTTCCAAGATACGTAATGATTCCTCTTTCAGTAGCTTATTACAGTGGGGGAAATAAGTATTTGAGCCCTTGCTGATTTTGCAGGTTTGCCCACTTACAAAGAATGCAACGATCTATAACTTTAATCATATGTACATTCTAACAGTGAAAGGCAGAATCCCAAAGAAAATTCCAGAAAATCACATCATATGAATTTATAAAAATTGATAAAGATCTGATGAGGAAAAATAAGCATTCTTTGTAAGTGGGCAAACCTGCAAAATCAGCAAGGGGTCAAATACTTATTTGCCCCACTGTAACTGTCATTTCTTGGAAAATGCAACAGAAACGGCCTCGTTTTCTGAACGCAACATGCACGTTTCCAACAGGACTTTACATGGTAAAGAATCTGTGTGGGCAAAGATCTACAAACCAGAGTCTGTGTGGCTTTACTGTCCAGAAAAATCTTATTTAGAGGCGAGAACAGGGAACTATTTTCTGCTTTTTTATACATACTCTACAGACAGCCCACAGTTTTATGGGTTTTTTAGCTTTTTAAGCCAAAAAAGAAACTATTTCAGGGAATCCCGAGCTGGGCTCCTCCCTTTCTGGGTGGCTGTTTTCCGGTTTGCTGGAAGCTGACTCTGATTCTGGTTCTGGTTCTGCTTCCCCTGTGCCCCCCCCCCCAGGCGTCGGACTACGAGATGCAGTGGGTGATCCGGATCTCGGTGGTGGTGGTGGGGCTGGGCGGCACGGCCCTCACCTTCCTGGACAACAGCGTGCTGGTCTTCTGGCTGGTGGGCGTGGACATGTCCTACACCATCATGTTCCCGCAGCTGGTGTGCGTGCTCTTCTTCAAGGTGTCCAACGGCTACGGCGCCTCCGTGGGCTACATGCTGGCCTTCCTGGTGCGGGTGCTGAGCGGCGAGCCGCTCATGGGGCTCCCGCCCGCCATCAAGTTCCCCGGCTGCCGGCCGGACAAAGAGGGGAAGATGACCCAGTACTTCCCCTTCCGCACGCTCATCATGCTGGTCTCGCTGGTGTCCATCCTGCTGTTCTCGTGGCTGGCCTCCATCGTTTTCAACAAGGGCCTGCTCTCCGAAAAGTGGGACGTGTTCGACATCCGGCGCAAGAGGAAACAAACGGCCCGGGCCGCCGGCGTCAAGATGGCGCCCGGCGGCGAGGACGCCGCGGCGGGGAAGCAGCTGCTGGACACGACCAGCTGCTGAGGGGCTGTAGACGAAGGGGGGGGGGGGCGGGGGGGGGGGGGCGCACAGGCCTGCGATGGCTCCACATCACTCACCCAGAAACAGCCAAACACTGCACTCATCCACCACCCAGCTCCCAAACCGTCCGATCCAAAAACCGGGTTCAGACCCAGTACATTTCCTAAAGAAAAACAGGGGAAAAAAAGAAGGAAAAAGCAAGATTTGATATTTTTGGGGTAAACGCTCAAAGTAAAAACACGTGTCGTTCTGTTGAGATACACAATAAAGAGCAGACTTTTGTACACTTTTAAAGTTAAATGAATGTATCTGCGTAGCCACACTGTGACGGACGGCTGACCTGAGCTAGCTTTAGCCAAAAAGACTCACCGATTCCTCCCAAACCACCACCGTCACCGTGGTGACGATGCAATTCAGCCCGACCAAGCGCGCCCTTTTATTCATCGATTGGATTTTGCTTTCTGTGAGATGCATCTCAGAAAGGATGGAGCGCGCCATTCGTCCCCGTGCGACCTCCGACCTCTCTCCTCATGAACCCGTGCAGAAGGTTTGCAGAAAGAAAAAGGGCTCTCTTTCACGCCAGAGCAAAGAAACGCCTCCAAAGAACCAAAAAAAAAAAACGCCCTGTTCCCGTGAAGGAAGCTCGATTTTTTTTTTCCATTTTTGTTTTAATCTTGTCTGATTTTTATTTTTACTCCGAGCTGATCGGCGAGCTCCACTTTAAGCAACCGTAACTGTTCCTGCCTTTTACTAGTTGAAAAATGAATGATTAGTGTTTTGATTTCACCATTTTGCCTGTAAAAGAATCAAAGAGGACACAGCGACGCGCAGTGAACTCTGATCACCGGCGGCTGTAAAGGGTCCGAACGGCAGCGGGAGACTGATTTATTTTTGTAAAAAGATGTAAATACGTGTAATGTAGTTTGTTGGGTTATGTTTGCTCGCCGGAGATGAGAGGATGCAGTTTTACCGACTAACGCTCCCAAAACACCAGAGTGTGGTTTACAGTGGGATCACTTCCTTCTTTTCCTGCAGCTGAAATACTTAAAAATTCACGTTTCCAAACAATCTTTTCTCCCTTTTTTTCCGATATCGTTAAAAACACTTTGTTGTATTGAGTCTGATTTTTTTTGGTGCAAAAAGCCCTCCTTTAGCATTTTACTGCCTTTGGAAACACTGGGGACGGGTCACCGCTGCAGTCCCTGTTTGTTTAAATACCTCATGGAGTGGTATTGTTGGTGTTAGGCATCAAAAAGTGGTTGTTACATCTATCCAAAGAATACTGAGTGATTGTGGACGAACTGTGTCAGAGAACGGGGCGCCTGCATCCGTCTGGATTTCTGCCTGTATTATACTCTTGTACCATATATGTACACTTTATATTTTTTATCAAGACTTCGATAGAACGCGTCGAGTAAAGGTTTCTGTCTGATGTGAGCAGCTTTTAAAGCTGAATTTTTTGCGCCTTAAGTTTTGCAGAACAACACGTGAGCGGGAAAAAAGAAAAGAAGGTTTATTTTTAAAAAAAACAAACAGATTCGGTCCCCAAATGGAAGAAAAATCCCCAGCAGCCAGCCGTCCACAATGTGGTGGAAGGTTTTATCCTGTTCAACAGAGTGTGTGTGCATTTCAAAACTCATGTAAGCAGTGTTGTCTCTCTCGATCGTTTTGGAGCTCCGGACAGCAAGTTCTCTGTTGTATATTTCCCCTAAGGGCTATTTGGTTTTATAATATTATGCACGTCACTTGTTGTTAACTGAGTTGTTTGTATACTGAACCTTTCTGAAAGGCTGTTTTTTTTTTTCTCTTGCCGCTTGGCAAGGTCCTACTTTGTACTGATGAAGTGTAAATCCCCATGGGGTGATGTTCTGTCGGAATAAAGGCTAAAACTGAGGCGCCGTGTGTTTTTCGTCTCCCTCAAAGCAGCCAGGAAACGCCCTGGCCATTCCCCTGGCCGGCAAACGCAAATCACAGCCACAGACACTTCAGCAGTCCCCCATATGGTTTCCATCTTTCATTTGTTTAATTTTTTGAGCTTTACAAAGCTCAGTTGGCCAACTGTTGGCCAGCAGCTAGCTGTTTGTTAGCTAGCCGTTTGTTGATTTTCAGTAAGCAGTTAGCTTATTGTCAGCGAGCGGTTAGCTTATTGTTAACAAGCAGTTAGGTTATTGTTAGCTAGCTGTTAGCTCACATGTAGCAACCAGTTATCTAATTGTTAGTAAACAGCTATCTTCTAGTTAGCAAGAACCCTGTTTGTTAGCAGCCAACAGCTGAAGAACTTAGTCAAACCTGAGAGGACCTGTGCGAGGTCCCAAACAAATCATCCATCCACCCATTATCGGAACCGCTTATTCCCTAATGGGGTCACGGGGGG